CTTGAACATTCTACCAATTAGTAAATTAGTCATGAATGTAAACATAATGATACTGGTATAGAAATTTAAGTAATAAATTATGGAGACCCAAGGAAAATTATGAGTTGTTCCTAAAGAAAAAAATCAAGAACATCTTCGTGTCAGAGGATATTGAAAAATGAGGACTTTAGCGAATGGAGAATAAAGCATTAATTTGAAAAATGAAATTCAAGCAATGGTACTAAGCATTAAAGTACAGCTTGGTTCAAAGAAAGATGGGCAAAGGCTGTACTAGGAGTAAGGGATGAAGTCATTAAAAATTCACCCTGTACAGACATTTCAGGACCTGTTTATGGAGGGATCTGAATGACACTAAAATGTGTTTTTTGCTGGGTCAGAGTTCTCCAGAAAACTTGCTTACATGACACACCTGATCCTGTCTCAAAAATAAAAGAAGGGCTAGAGATGTCGTTCAACGTGAAGGTGCTGGAATCAATTCCTAGTACAGAAAAATTAAAAATTGTATGTATATATACTTAACATAAATATGCAAAAAAAACTGAAGCCACAACAAGAAAGCAGCTTCTCAGATCGTTTCTTAAATAATCAAAGCATCATTTAATTCACTGAACTTGGGAACTGAAAAGAACTCAGGATAATCTGTATGCCCCCTGATTTTATTCAAGTAGGCAAGTGGGAGCACTTCCTAAACATGTTTTTTACCAGTGCCCCACATCACCTCTGAAAGGCGAAGTAGGCCACAGTGTTATTAGTCTCTTATTATGGGGAAACTGAGGAACATAAAGAATAAATTACAGTATGTCACAAAATAAGCCATCATAATTTCTAGTACTTTAAAGGCTTCAAGTTCACATTTCATCCGTCATTCTTCTCACCACCTGAATACCAGAATTACCGTTTAATATTGTCTTCACCGAAAGAGGAAAAAAAATCCCTAAACATTAATTTTTCCCAAAAATCAGAGATTTTAAAATTCTACTTTTTAAATGATATTTTGCAGAAGCCGGAAGGTGTAAATAGTAAGCCCACCTCAAAGACAGAGACAGACAGACAGAGAGACTCTGTAAATAGCAAGTCAGGACAAGAATCCTAGGTTCAACTTTTTACTTTGAATCTCTGGCAGGCTCAAGGAATACCGGAAACTTGTGTCCGTAAAACAAGCTTTGCAGAAGCTCAGAAGCTCGGATACAGAGGTGCTGTAAAAGGCCGGGAGTAGAGGTATCCTTACACACACTACAGCAAACGTGAAACCCAATGCTCTTCTCAGTTCCTCCCCGCATTGCACCACGAGGCCTGCTCAAGCCCTCCCTGCGTTTCCTTTTCCCTTAAAAAGCGGTACGCTGAGGATGCCCGCGGTGCCGGGCCTCTGTAAACACTGAAGGGACCGGATGTGGCGGCCCAGCACTTCTCAAAACCTTGGCTCTCCACCGTTGTAGGCCCGGATCCGGTGGATCAAACACAAAGTTCCTGCTCGTTTTATTTTTCGCATTTGCTTTGACGCCCCGACCCCGAGTCCCGGTGCTCAGCCTCGCGCCCCCTCTGCCGCCAGGTGGGCGTCCCAAGGACCTGGGCGGCGGGCGAGACCCGCTGGAGGAGCACTCTGTAAACTGAAGGGACCGGATGTGGCGGCCCAGCACTTCTCAAAACCTTGGCTCTCCACCGTTGTAGGCCCGGATCCGGTGGATCAAACACAAAGTTCCTGCTCGTTTTATTTTTCGCATTTGCTTTGACGCCCCGAGACCGAGTCCCGGTGCTC